GACAGACCTGTCCGAAAGCACCGCATCAGCTGCAGGAAAACGTGCAGCGGCTCGGTCAAATGAACGGGAGGAAAAACAGGGAAGGCCGGGAACGTACGGCGGGATTGAAACGTGGGCCTTAGGGTGGAGGGGCTGCCTGGTTTCTTGAGTGTGGTGCAGAGCTTTGGGGCGACCCTGTGGGAGCCTGGAAAGGCCGTTTTGCTTTAAGTGACCAATTTGGTATAGGTTGCCTGGAAGCCGTAGAAAAGCTTCTGGCTGGAAGTTTATTTGTCAGCACAGTGAGCTGCGTTTGATCTGCTCCTAGCTAAAACAGCGACCTTCTCTTGCCTTTCAGTTTCTCCTGAACTCCTGCAGGCACTGTTCTTCAGGAATCCTTCCCAATGAGAGGATCCGCAACATTGGGATCTCGGCCCACATCGACTCGGGGAAGACGACGTTAACGGAGCGAATCCTCTTCTATACGGGCAGAATAGCACAAATGCACGAGGTCAGTTTTCAGAGGACTCCAGAGCAGAGCTGCTCTTCGTGGGCTGAGCGTGCTAGGTGCCACTGCGACGTTGCTGAGACTTGTTCGTCCGCACGGTGTAGCGCGTGGGGTGAGGGAGCTACGCCTGGTGGGCCCAGTGGACCTCTTCAGGCCAAGCTGAAGAAGGAGTCCAAAAAACCTCCTGGTTTCTCTGACGCCCCTTTAAAAATAAGTGAAGGGCAAGGGGATGGAAAGTAATCCCTCCTTTACAGCAGTCTTCTCCCTCTTTCAGAACATTTCAAATCTTATTTCAAGAGCTGCTTCTCCCTTACCATCTCTGTGGTAAATATACAGTAGAAAATACATGTTTCTTTTGATGTAGTCAAAGATGACTGGGAGAAACGGAGGACACAGGGATGTTATTTGTAGCTTCAGATAAGTTATCTTGTTAAATTCACAGTGAAGCATAATTTCCCACAGATTTCTGGTAACCTTTTTCAGGAATGATCATCAGGAAGGCAAAAATACATTAAAGTTGCAGATGAAGCTGCCAAAAAAATCAAACTTGTTTGCAGTTCAAGAATTATAAGCAATTCTGCCATGTCTGCTTTTCTTCACTGCATGAAAGATGATGTTCAGTATATAAAGCATCACTCCTGCACATGCAAAATTCTTAGTAAACTCCCTTGGACTAAATTTTTTCTTTTTCTTCTTTTTTTTTTTTTGTCTTTTCCTAAGGTGAAAGGTAAGGATGGAGTTGGAGCTGTCATGGATTCAATGGAGCTAGAGCGACAGCGTGGAATCACAATTCAGTCTGCAGCAACATACACCATGTGGAAAGACACCAACATCAACATCATAGACACACCAGGTGACGACAGTTCTGAACACGTTAAGGTTGCTGTTCCTTCATGTGTACAAAGAGCACGGTGCCATCTTTGTGTTCATTAGTCACTCAGGTTGAGCTAATGTGACTCTGTATAGCTGGAGACTGATTCTGTTGGCTGTTGCTCTTTTCTGCACGTATGAGAAAACAATTTCTCTTTAACTTTTATCATCTATGAATAACAGGGGTTTTGTGTTATTCAGGACATGTGGACTTCACAATTGAAGTGGAAAGATCTTTGAGAGTCCTTGATGGAGCTATTCTGGTTCTCTGTGCCGTTGGAGGAGTTCAGTGCCAGACAATAACTGTGAACAGGCAAATGAAACGCTACAGTGTGCCATTTTTAACATTCATCAATAAACTGGACAGACTGGGCTCTAGCCCAGCCAGAGCAGTACAACAATTGAGGTATTTATCCTTTAAAATTATTTGTAAAATAATTCTGAACTATTCACATAGCAGGTTAATACTAAGAATATTGAAAAGGGTTCTCTTGTGGGGTCTGTAGTTGCAGTTTGGAGGATAATACCTGACGTGAGGTTAAATCTTAATCTGACCTATAACAAGTCTCCATTTTCTCAAGAAAAACAAATGTTAGTGTCAGCCCAGGCTTGCAGTGACCGAGAGTTGGGTTTTTGATGTTTATTTTGTTGATGGAACTATATTTGGAGCCACTTTGAAAACAGCCTTTTATTTTTTCCTAGATCCTGGTAGCAAACGTGCTGTAGCTTACAGCAGGGAGGTGACATAGGGTTGGACAGTTTCTAGTTCGGATACCAGAACTCCTGCTTGCTCCTTACCTGCAGTCTTTCTGTGCCTAATTTGATCTGTGAGATACATGCGTTAATATGCATCGAGGGAGAAGCAACTCGCGTAATCAAGTAATTAATCTGAAACCAGTTTGCACTGCCTTCTTTTCCATCACAGTTGCTCGCTCTATCTGTTGGGATATAGAGGGTGGCAGTCACTCAGGTTAAAATGCAACTAGGCGTTTTTCATCAGTATTGGTAGATTTTTGGCACTGTCCAAAGAACAAAAGATAGGGATTTTGTAGGAGTGGGATGTTGTTCAAAGACCATCTGGAGCACGTATATATAGAAATGACTTTTTTCTTGAACTAATTTATATTTGCTTACTTTTTCAGATCTAAGTTAAAACACAATGCAGCTTTTGTTCAGATTCCAATTGGGCTGGAGGGAAACTTTAAAGGAGTTATAGATCTTATTGAAGAAAAAGCTATATATTTTGATGGTGCACTTGGGTAAGTTTTGAAACTTGCACATTTCTTAGCTGTAGCTAGTCCTTGTATGAGGAACTACCTATAGTTTCTCTTCAGAGATGAAAAAGGCTGCTATTTGGAAAGTTAGGGATGTGGCTTGTGCTAGTGCTGAGGTATCACCCTTCAGCTCTCCACGTTAGAGCAAAATGATTCTGCAGGGTCAGGTTTAGTGATGGGTAGCTGCAGCAGGAATTGTTTGCTAACTGCAGTAGTGTGAAGGGGTGGTAGCCACACTTGCCACCCTGAGAAATAGGAGACTTGCTTCATAACGGGAACTGAGTGTATGTTTGGTGCGAGCTTACTGGGATGAAGATAAGATGTGGGTGAGGTTGTTGAACAGGTTATCCTGCATCCTTGCAAACTCCTACCATGAGTGGGAAGAAACCTCCTGCTAAAGCATCAAAGATAACATGTCGATATTCTCATGTGATTTTTTTTTCAATATCCATGTCAACAGTGAATTTTTCTTGGTCAGGCTGGTCATCACAATGATTAGTGATTGAAAGGTTGATTCATGTGGTATTCCTTTAGAGTGGTTGTGTTGTTTATGTATGTGTAGCCAGACTCTTCGGTATGATGAAATTCCAGCTGAGTTTAGAGCTGAGGCTGCAGAGAGACGTCAGGAGTTGATCGAATGTGTTGCTAACTCGGATGATCAACTTGGGGAGCTGTTTTTGGAAGAAAAGATTCCTATAGCTGCTGAGTTAAAGGTAACTTTATTGTGGTTCTTCTTCCTGTAGCACTGTTACCTCGTTCTTTTGTGTCCCTATCCCCCCCCATCCCCAATAAAAATTTCTTGAAGTCTTGAAGAAATTTTGTTTGCTTGAGTTCTCTGGTATGAGTGTCACCTCCC